GTTGGTGTAGCCTTTTAAAACATTTGGTGTAATAATAATTATATACCTATCATCAATTACCACTGCCACTGGTAAAATCCTAAATTTAAAATAGTGTAATATAATAATACGACATTAATCATATCTTAAATGGATCGCCTACTACCATGTTTTAGAAATAAATAAAATTTAATTCTTAAATTAATAAAAATATTCAAAATAATTTAAGATTGATTCCTTGCGTTATGTTAATAAACATTCAACAAAATTTCTCACGAATTATTTAATATTCTGTCTCGTACTTCCATGTCTCTATTGCTTCGCTGTCAACAAGTTCCGGCAAGACATATTGCATATAAAAAATTTTAATTTTATTTTGTATCTTTTTTCTCAAAAGCTGTCAATATGAGATATTTTCTCCACTTCTATTCCTCCTGAAGTCCAAAAGCACAAAATGCAAAAATCCATTTGTGTTATGTACAGCTAGCCCTGAATTTGAAAATACCAATAGTGGTTCTCCTTAATGGAATTGTTTTTTTTCCAAAAAGTTATTTCTCTACTGCATATTTCTTCTGCTACAGTCCGCACTTCAGCTCCATATGGACATTTTAACTCTATCATAGAGTTTTGTTTTTTTTTTTTTTAATTCCATCCAGACTGACAGCAACATAATCAAATTCGAATTCAATAAAATGTCCACATTTAAAAACTTTTACTTGCAAATAAATTTCCAAATCTTATTTTGTTTTGAATTTATGGTCCATGCCATATCGGGTGGCTTTAGAAATAAATAAAAGATTTTACGAGATTTTTTATTTTCTCCAAATTTTTAAGCAGTGACTCGTTTCCGCCTTCTATTGTGCCACAATGCAATAAATCGTTTTTCTCATTTATAGACATTGGCTAACTTTTTAGAAAATGTTCTCTTGCAACGCGCCTCAAAGGGTGCGACAAATCAAAGCCATGCGCGAAAGCAAGAAAAAATATTTACATTACTTTAACGGATTGAAGAGATATTAACATGCTGGAATTAATAATTATTGTTGACTCGAAGAAGTATTCATTAAACAAAAACATATAATTCACATCTCAGTGTATACCTTCCAATTTCGTATATATGTATTTTTTTTAATAAATAAATGATAAAATTAATTTAATATAATTGAGCGAAATTACTGTATGTAAAAAATAAACAACATGAATTCAAATCACTCACTAAATAGTAGAAAAAGATATATATTTTGTTGGTAACACCTTCTAGATGAAAAAGCTTTTAACGTATTTCTATTTTTCTTGTAATAAAAATAAATGCTCCTGTAGGAAAAAATTAAATATATTGTTCTCTTCTATCATTTTTTAACATTTCTATTTCTTTTCGTTTCTTTTCTTAGATTTTTTCAAAAGAGACTGATTCATATTTTGAAAGTAAATCCAGAGAGGTATGGGTTAAGCCTTTACCTGTACTTACATAAAAATTTTTTTAATAAAATTAAAAAATAATCCGTGAAATTGGTGTACTATGAAACCCTTGCATATAATATATATGCCAATCTTAGTATTACAGAAATAAATTACGTAAAAAATAAGGTGTACAAATACGTAAAATTTATTCATCCCTCGTAAAACATCAGTAAAATATATTATAAATTGTTTTCATTCACAAATATTAATTTCTTAAAAATCTAATAGAGGCGCCACTTTCCAGACGAAAAATCTTGCAATGTAAGGGTTTCGTAGTACCCCACTTTTAAAGTTTATTTTTGACTATTTTTAAAATAAAAAAATATGTGTGTGTAGGTAAAGGTTAAATCTATGCTCCTCTGGAACCACTTTTTCAAAATTCAATTTAGTTTTTTCTAAAAAAAATTGAGAAAATGGGTAAAACAAGTCGAGTTTTGTATTTTTTTTTAGAAAAAACTGTTTTAAATTTTAAAAAAGTGTTTCCAGAGGAGCATAGATTTATCCTTTACCTACACGTACATATTTTTTTCTTTCAGAATAAGTCAAAAATAAACTTTAAAAGTGGGGTACTACGAAACCCTTGCATGCTCCGCTCTACAGCCAAGTAAATACTCCTCTTAATTTCTTCAAATGCTACCTTACAGACCGAAAACAGAGAGTCGTTATTGGTGGTAAATGTTCCAAATTAAAATCTATTTGCTCTGGCGTCCCACAGGGCTCTGTGCTAGGACCCCTTCTCTTCCTATTATACACGTTTGATATGACTAAATATTTACAATTTTGCAAAAAACAGTTATTTGCAGACGACACTCAATTATATTTTCATTTTAATCCTTCTGAATATGAAATAGCTAATGTCCGCATAAATCAAGATTTGCATAAAATAAGCGAATATGTGAAAGGGCATGGTTTGAAATTAAATGCTAAAAAATCAAAATCTTTGTTGTTTTCTCCAAAAATATATAAGAATATGCTTAAATCGGGCATGCAGATTAGGGTAAATGGTGAACAAATAAAATTTTCTTCTTGTGAAAAGAATTTGGGTTTGTATTTAGATGAAAATTTAAAATTTGTTGAACATGTTTCTCAAGTGTCAAAAAATTGTTATTTTCGTCTAAGACTCTTATATGCAAGTAAACAATATTTAACATTTAACATGAAAAAAACCCTATGTGAAAGCTTGGTAATCTCTAAAATAACATACTGCATCTCTGTATACTATCCTTGTCTCGACAGGGCTACTGCAAACCGTTTACAAAAAATACAAAATTCGTGTTGTCGGCTTGTTTGTAACAAAAGAAAATATGACCACATATCACCTTACATTATTTCATTAAAATGGTTGAAAATAGATTCTTTGTTCAAATTTCTTTTCTTATTATTTTTAAGCAATTTATTAAAAGCTAATTCACCATTATATTTAAGAGAACGGATTACGTATAGGATTGACGCACATGCCTTAAATTTGCGAAATCGCCATACTATCGCCATGCCACGACATAGAACTGCCATGTTTCAACGGTCATTTAGCTATAATGTCGCTAAAGTATACAATTCACTAAATACACACTTAAAATCATATTTGAGTACTAGTTCATTTAAAATAATGTTAAAATCATATTTTCTTGGTAGCCAAGCAAATGAAAATATTTAATTCATATTCTATTTTATTTATTTTATTTGTTTTATTTAATTCTTGTTCTTAATTTAAATTTGAATTCATCCGTAGACATTCAGCGTAATGTAGAGTAGGTTAGGTTTAAGTTAGTTTTAGGATTAGTGATATGGTTAAGTTGAATGGCCATTTGGCTAGACTACGCCATTTATACTTTGTAAATGTTGTTTTGCTGGTATAATAAAGACGTTTATTATTATTATTATTATTAATACATCAAAAGTCACAGTTTCTCTTAAGTTTCTAATAACATAGCAATGGGAGCATATTTTTTTAGTTACATTATCTATGTGAGCTTCCCACGTTAGCTTAGGGTCTAATGTAATTCCCAAAAATTTAACATTTTCACTATTTTGTATAGATTTACCATTAATATGTAAGTACGGTTCAAGATTTGGGGTGGTATTCTTGGGTAGAAAACGCATGAAGTTAGTTTTTGATACATTCAATGCCAGACCATTTTCTCTAGAATATTTGTTAAATTCAAAAGATGCATTATTGCTGCTTTGCACAAGGTGTTCAAATTGATGATCCGCCATAAGAATGTTTGTATCATCAGCATATTGGATAATCTGATGAGGACTGGTACAAAATTTATTGATATCACTAACAAATATTATAAAAAATACTGGCCCTAGTATTGATCCCTGCGGTACTCCCATTGTATATTTGAGAGGAGTTGATTTCTTGTTATCAGTTATAACTACTTGTGTTCTGTTTGATAAGTAAGATTTAGCCCAATCGTAAGGTTTTCCCCGTATTCCCATACCTTCTATTTTAAGTAACAAGAGATTATGATCCACCGTGTCAAATGCACGGCTCAGGTCATAGAAAAGTGCCAAAGTATTTTTCTTATCATTTAATGCACTATAAATAAAATCCAAACAAGCTGCCATAGCACTGGCAGTAGATTTTTTACTGCGGAATCCATTTTGAATTGCTGGTAGTAATTTAAAATGTTCAAGATAGTTTATAAGCCTTATAGAATACGCAGATTCAAACATTTTTGTAATTTGACTTGGAATACAGATTAAACGATAATTGTTTATATCACTTGGTGAACCTTTATTTTTATAGATAGGAATTCCTTTAGACTGTTTTAATTCCGGAAAAACTCCGAATTTACAAGATTCATTAATCAAATGAGATAAAGGTTCAGCAATGTGAGTGGCTACTGATCTTATGATTTTGCCGTTTATTTCATCAATTCCCTCAGCCGATTTCAAGGTGGTTTTATGGATAATAGAGATTACCTCTTCCGGTGTTGTTGGAAAGAGGAAGAAACTTATATGGAAGTTGTCTATTTTCATATTATAGTCAGGAATAGTGTTAGTTTGATTTACATTTATAAAATAATTATTAATAAAATTAGCTTTTTCTACATTTTTTTCAGTTTCAATTGCATTTAGTGATTTATTTTTAATTTTACCCTGATTTTCGTTTATTATATTCCAGCTCTCTTTCATACGGTTGCTGCTATTTTGGATTCGATTGCTGTTTTTTTCTTTTAAATATTTTTCTGTTATAATTTGGTATTCTTTCTTAAATTTATATTATATTATAGTTTAGTGTTTAAAATCTTTTGATGTAAATATGTCCTGGTTACCAATAAATAATATAGTCTATACCTACTCAATATATATGTTATTAGTGATCATTCGGAGATTTTAAATTTTTTAGAGGCTTACCATGATATTAAGTGTTGACAGAGTTTAATAATCTAAGTATATAGGGGGTGCAGATTAAAAAAAATCAGCAAGTAATCAAATTATGAAAAAATAAAACAAACACAACCTAACTATATTAAAGAAAACAAAACAAAAAACTCTAAAAAGCAATGAAACAGAAACAGAACTAAATATATATCACAAAATATAGAAAAATTTTAATGAAAAGTCATTTTATATTTCTTTTCAATTTCTTGTATTTTTTTCTCGATTTCTTGCTCATCAAATCTTCTAATTGTGAATTGATGAGAACCAATCAATTGAACAATTCCAAAATATTCTTTATGCTGACCCAGCTCAATTAAATTTGGTAAAACCTCCCTTGATAATTTTTCTACATTTTCAACATCTTCGTCAGTCATTTTCGCAATTAAGCGCAGTGAAGTATATCCATTTACTGCTAGGATATTTTTCAACACTTTTGGTATTTTTACTTTTAAAGTCTTTTCAGTTTCAGAGAGCTCGTTAGCATTTTGCTCTGATATATCCATGTTGGTCCTGAATAATAAGAAAAAACATAAATTCAGCCTACTTGTTATGGAATATACAGCCCATTTTACGACTATCAACCAATCTTGTCTTTCCCATAATTTGTATTACTTAGAGGGAGGGATTTTATCCTCAAAATCACCCCTTGATACTCTTCTGTAATAAAATCTAAGATCTACATATTATAAACTCTAAAAAATGTGGTCGTAGAAAAAGTATTGTGCAACATGGTGCGCAAATCACTTTTCTCACACGCTTGATTTGGCCATTGCGTTCAACTGAACGAATATAATTCATATTCATTCTACCTAGTAAGCACACTGCATGGATATGAAATCCATCAATAACAGTTCTTATTACCATTATTATTTTAAATTTAAAAAGTGATTCTTTTGTCAAAGTAATTGTCTCAGTATATTTTTAGTTATTAAGATTAAATATAATATAAAATGAGTGATTCTTGTGGAAAATTGATAAATATATTTTCAAATAAATCACAACTTTCCATAAAATTATCTAATCACTCTTTGTAAAAATGTACATGTATTGCCGAATTCATATGATTTCCGCAATCATATGGCGATTTCTGGATGACTGCGGCGATTTCTAGATGACTGCTGCGATTTCTGGATGACTGCGGTGATTTCCACATGACTTCCGACAGATTTCCCGTGACTGCGGTGATTTATGTATTGACTGCAACGATTTCTCTATTGATTGCGGCAATTTCCCTATTGATTGCGGCGATTTACTCGTACGTATGGATTGTCAGTATTGCAAAATTGCACGCATTCCGAAGGATTTCTACGATATTGTCTGGCTTACCAGTTGGTTTCCAGTAAAAAAAGCATTAGCTAGGTGTTTCATCAGAAAAACTAAATTTTGTATAGCGCATGTATAGGTGCTAAATACAATGCATTGATTTAAAACTAAGTGTGTACGACAAATTTATCAATAAATCAACTTTTTGTGCGTTTTTTATTCATTCAGAAGATCAGTTTTAATTGATGTGATACCCGAAATATAAACTTCTATGTAGGTACCTACATGCCTCCATTATTAGATATCTTTGATATGCCTAAATGAACAAATAGGTACAGGTAAATAAAACAAGTTAAGTAATTGGAGGTTTTTTATTTAAAAATTTCATAAAAGTGTTTTTTTAGACGTTTACAAATTTTATTGATGTTTGTTTCTAGTTTAAATGGACCAGATCCAATTGAATTGATGGGTCCGTAAAATATTAATTTATTTTTAACAATTTGAATGTCGTCTTTTTTTGGCCATAAATATTCTTCAAGTTCAGATTTTAAAATTTTTATTTTACTAGTGGTTTCATCAATTATTTGAAAAATCCGACCTATGTACCACGACTCGTAAAGAATTGCGTAATATTGTTCGTTCCTAATTAAAATGCCATTGATATTTTTCTGGAGCAAAGTGTTTTCACCGGTAGTTTTTTCACTTTCTGTTAAAAATGAGGTATCAGAATCACTTTTTGTGTAGTAATTTCGTAAATCCTTTATATTAAGATCTTCCAATCCATAAAAAATGCTCTTTTCATTATCTACATCATATATGGAAACTTAAGTTTAAAATTTAATGTTTTTTACTTTATCCGTTTTTGATTATTCTTTAAAATTCGAAATTTACACATTTTCTTAAATATCTCGAATACGGTCCATTTTAGAGAAATTATGTATAGGCCAAAATTTTAGAGAATTATATTACAAACAACTTTTATTTGAACAATTTTTATAAAAAAATATTTTTTTTTCACATTTTGTCAAATTTCTCGAATACGGACCAAATTTTGTATAGAACAAATTATAGATAATAATATTGTAAGTAACTTTTATTTGAAAAAATTTCTTCTCCAAACGTAAATAACAGATATATTCCATAAAATATAAAAATGATGACTATAAAGTACCCTTCAAATGTTCCGACTCTGCCCAAAATCTAATCTTCTAATTGGACGCCGGAATAAAGCTTAAGTTTAAAGTTTGGTGTTTTTCTTTGTATCCGTTCATGAGTTATCGAGGATACAGACACACACACAGACATCATCGCGAAAATAGTCAAAACAGATTCAGGATACCCCAAAACATAAAAAACCGTCGAAAATAATCATGATTCCTATACTTTCCTTATCTGTAAACAGATAGGAAAGTAAAAATACATTTAAAACCCTAATTAAAACGTGTATCACCCCAACCCCCATAAAATACCAACAATTTTGTTATACATTAAAAAAAAAAAACTAGATGAAAAGGGACAATTTTTGACCACCTTGTAAAATGTTGTATACAAGTAGATTTAGTGTCTAAATTTATCCTAAAAAACCTTCAAATTCCAAAATGTAAATTTAACTTAATAGTTCTTGCCTCAAAATGTAAACTGCAATTTCTTTACACAAAATGGTTTAGATGGCTTAATCAAAGCACCCTACATCAACAATGGCTAATTGGTTAATGTCACCTTACTGCGCGCGATTTTTAACAATTGCTAGTGATTGCTCAGTGACTGCTAGATAATTCGGGGGACTGCAAGGGAATTCGGAACGACTGCGAGCGAATTCGGAACAACTGCGGCGATTTCTTAGCGATTGTCACTGATTTTGATGAGACTGCGGCGATTTTCAATGGGATTGCGGACATTTTGTACACGTATTGCGGGAGTGATTTGCCCCTCGTCTAAAATCGATTATTTAAGAAAGGGTACTAGGAACAAAATTTGAAGGTTGGAGGTAAGAGTAGTGAGATGATATGCGAAAGATCAGGGGTTCAAATCCAGAGAGAAGACTTTAAATAAAATATTTTTTTTAGTTTAATTTATTTCATAAATTAGTAAAAGTCATAAATTAATTTTAAAATAGTTATTTTATCTCAATATAAACTCTATTTTTTTTAAAATTTGAAGATTTTCGTTAGTGGGTCGTAGAAAAAATATACTGTACAATGAATTGTCCGTATCGCACTTCGCCTTCGGCATCATGCTCAAACTTCGTCTTCGTGTGATATCGTACCATATATATGATATATATGTTACGGTTAAAGTGTTTACTTGGCTAGTTTATAGACTAGCTGGATAGCATACAAACTATCCAAATGTTCTGCTATTTTGATGGAAAATCATATTTATACTAAAATAGCTATGAATGTTGGTTAGTTTCTATATTATCCGGCTAGTTTACAAACTATACAAGATTTATCGTTAAAGTAAAAAACCACAAGAAAATTATACACAAATTAACCGATTTTTGGCTAGTTTACAAACTATCCACAGTATTTGGATAAAGAGTGAACTTAATATTCGTAGTAATACATAATAACCAGCTCGTCGGTTAGTATGTAAACTCACCAATCCTCTTTGGTTAATTTAGTTTATCGACTATTTAATTGAATAATTTTTTCCCAACAAAATTAAATATACTGGCATTTAAACTCAAAAAATAAAAAAGAAATGGATCGGCTATGAATTGATTGGCCGCCCGCATGGCAAGTGACCACTGAACCACCTATTCGATTTTGCCTTAGGTACTTAATTCATATCAGTTATATTTAAATACAGATTATTGATTGTTAAAAAATTACATTTTAGGAATTTGGAATATATTTTATTTGTTATTTGGCCACTCTGTACCTACATATTGAAAAAATACCTACCTCGTTTGCAAATTCTCGACCGTTGACGCTCTTTAACACGCAAGGACTTCCTAGGTCTGCAAATACTTTAAATAGGTGCTCAGCTACTTCTCTAGCCTTCTTTGTTTTTAGCGCTCTCAACCTAACATATTTGATTAGGTGGTCTTAATAGGCAAAAATAAACTTGAAGTCACCATTTGGTCTAGTTTGTGGATGAGATCGATTTGGCACCGACAGTTTAAATGATTTGATACAATTATTGCTTTCACAACAATACCTTTTTAAGTTTTGTTCCGTTTGAGCTGACAGGTTTTGCAAGTTTCAATAAATAACTTTTCCGTTTCCTGTGTTAAGATATAATACTTTTCATTTAATAATTTTATAGTTGCTTGACGACCTCCATGCCCAGTTCTCTGGTGGGCAGCTTTAATCGTATCATAACATTCACTCAAACGTAAAATAATCGTTCCAGATTTTTTATGTGAAATTATATAAGATGGTGCGATTCTCTATAAACCACAACTCGCCACACACTATTTTATATTATTAATAATCTATTTATTTTTTTCGAAACCCGCTATACACCATTTATTAATTTTTTTATTGAAATTCACTTAACCTAAGTAGGTATTGAACTCACGACACGTCCATTGTCGTTCTAGGCTTTCAAGTCTAGGCGCCCTCGACCAAGGAACCACTTGCAAAAATTCTTACTACACACGGTATTAATAGAATAAGATTTCAAACTTCCGCTGATAGAATGAAATGTAATAGATTCAATTTGCCAATTTTTAATGAGCAATTCTATTTAAAAAATCTGATGTGTCCAACACATGACTTTCCTATCTAGTTATTACAGGCTTTTTCCGTTTATTGTGTACAACCTATTGCAGCATCTCTATAAATGTTTAGAGGATAAACTAAATATATACATTGTCCACATGCATCTACCGCGAAACATTTTTCTATAGATATTCATTGAAAATGAAAATACTGAAAAATTTAAATTTAGCACTTTTCCTACAATTTTTCCATTACGGTCCATTTAAAAAAAATCATGTATGAACAAATATTATAGAGATCGATATCGCAAACAACTTTTATTTCAACAATGGGGCATGTTCAAAAATTTTGAAATTTTTTTTGTGAATAATAGAGTTGAAAATAAAATTATATTTTTTTTATTTTTTTTTATCTATTCATTTGACGGAGTTATGAATTTTTTAAAATTTATGACGTCACCGGGAATAGACCAATAGGAGCTAGCGCCACAACGTTGCCGGCTAGAAGGTTTACGAGAAGTGATGTACGTTCGTTTGTGTACTCCTTCTTACTTTTAGACTTCTAAAACATCG